GTAAAAAACTATTCTGATCAGTGTGCCCTGGAGACAGCGCTGCACGGGGGGGATACTTTTCATAAGTCAAACAGCATCCTATCAGTTACACATGTACACATGCTCCTCCAGCTCCTGCAAACGTAAATCACAACAGAGGTACAGCGACACATTCATCCACGTTTGAATGCTTTTGAAGGCAGACACCCATTAGGATGAGGTTAGAAAATGTAAATTCTATGGGCTCTTTTATGTGTGGCTGCTGCAGTTTGATTATAGCTCCAAGTGTATTTGCAGAGCTTATGCTGTGTATTACTGCTCTGTTTGAAGCTTTGGGTAATTAATTAAACAAGAGAAGGCCCAGTTCATGATTTGGCTGGAGTTATCATTGCAGCAGATGCTTACACTCCATTGTGCCTTGCCCTCTTGGGCACTGGAAGTACTCCTGGTTTCTCATGGTGTCTGGTGGTTTGTGTGACTGTGCCTTCAGACTGGATTTCTGCTCCTTACAAGCTCAGCACCTCAGTATGCAGCTGCCTCAAAGGCAAAAAAGGAAAAGCCTATTTTTTCTTCCTACTATGTCCTCATTTTGGAGATAGATGGATTATAAATAGAACTTGTCTAATAGTTGAGTTTTCTGAGGGCAAATGGAAAAAGTGTATCTTTGGTTGGCTCAAAACTTGTTTATTTAACAAATTCTAATAATACGATTGGGTCAAATGGAACGAAATGTTTACTTTCGTAAAAGTTCCTTATCATCTTTGTTAATGAAAATCCAGGGAATAAGGGATTCTAGTCTCAAGCAGCCTGGGAAACCTCATTTACATAGCCTCAATAATGAAGTAAAAGCCCAAGGTCCCATTGAACTCCTCTGAGGAGCTAAGTGACCAAGCGATAAAGCCCTGGAGCAGCGAAAGCAACACCAGCTGGTGGGTGTAGAGCAGGCCCCTAAGCTGATCATTAGATTGGGGTGGTGTCTCTGGGCAGAGGCTGCCACAGGCAGCTACCCTCCAACACGAAGGGGTCAAACCTTATTCATTTCTGCTTGAGCAAGAACTCTACATTTTTTTACCTTCCTTGTTCCATATAATTTGTTTCGGCTGCCTGAGATGTGAGGTCTTTTGTTTTGTCTTGTGGATTATCATTTTCATTCAGCTCCTACTCTAACCCAAATAAACTTGGTATCCCATTTCAAGAACAAGTGCATTCCAGGAAAGATGTCTTCAGCCATGAAAAGAACATAATTGGCCTTTCCTACTGTGAAACTCATCATTTTTCATTTGACTTTATATCTACAGTCCATCCAACTTATTCATCTAGTCATGGATCAGCTACTGACTGTTTGCAAGGGCTTTGGTGTAATCATTTCATATTTGGACGCCTGTCTCCTCTCTGAAGAGCTGGCGTCTACATCACGGAAGCCAAGGGAAAGTTAAAAAGTCAGTGGCATTGCAGATTTCAACTAGCATTTTCAAATTTGCTCTGAGATCTGGTGCGCATTGCCAGGTGCGGGTGGAAGGTTAATACTCACATTATTACCAGTTGTGAATTTGGAAAGCAGAGGGTATGCTTAATTTTATGTCTGTGAACACTCACTTGATGGGTGAACAGGAAAAATGCTGAGGGATCATTGAACCAAATAAAACTAAAACACAATTCACATTTAAAATATTTTACACAAATCCCCGGGGCCTTGCCTCCAGGTGTATCAGCTGATAAGTTTGAATAACAGAATCATGTAAGGAGACATCAGTCAGCTCTCAGCTCAGTTACAAACTATAAAACGTACAAACTTGTTGAAAGTACTGTTCACTGCCAATTATTCATTCTTTTCTTGTTTGGTATCCAGAGGACTTCTATTTACTGGATTTAAGTAGTGCTATATCTCTAACACATAGATGTTCTCATGGAGGACACAGGCAAAATTAGGTTTCCATCTACCCAAGCTCAAGATTAAGCAAAATCTGAGGACAGTATTTAACAACATATTTTGTTCATTTTTTGTTTTATTTTTCATATGTCAGGCGCAGAGACACCTTTTATCTCTTTCCTGAGTATTTTAATTTTTCACATTTGTTCTAGTTCTCATATACCAACATTCCACCATTTTCTCTCTGGGAAAACCAGGAAGAAATAGTGCTGGAAGTGACCCTGAGAAGTAGTATAGTCTAACTTTTGGGCCTAAAACAAGATCAGCTACACCTGTCTTAATTCCTTATGATGAACCTTGGTTGAAATTAAATTTCAGTAGCTCTCAATGTGTTGTTCCTGTGGATTTTATAGGGATTCTATAGGTACATAGCGAATAAAAGACAGACTAGGGACAACGTAGGCCTCCTCCAGAAACTGTCAGGAGAATTGGCTGCCCTGGATTTGGAGAAGGCTGAGGTTCTGAATGGCTTCTTTGCCTCACTCTTCACTGGCAAAGGCTCTGACCACACCACCCAAGTCTTGGAAGGCAGAAGCAGGGACTGTGAGAATGGAGACCTTGGGCCCACTGTAGGAGAGGAATTGGTCTGAGACCATCTTAAGAACCTGAACATGCACAAGTCCATGGGACCTGATGAAATCCATCCGCGGGTCCTGAAGGAGCTGGTGGATGAAGTTGCTAAGCCACTGTCCATCATATTTGAAAAATCATGGCAGTCAGGTGAAGCTCCCAACAACTGGAAAAAGGGAAATATAACCCCCATTTTCAAGAAGGGGAAAATAGATGATCCGGGGAATTACAGACCAGTCAGTCTCACCTCTGTGCCTGGCAAAATCTCCAAGCAGATTCCCCTGGAAGGCATGCTAAAGCACATGAAAAACAACAAGGTGCTTGGTGACAGCCAGCATGGCTTCACTAAGGGGAAATCCTGCCTGACCAATTTGGTGGCCTTCTATGACGGGGCTACAGAACTGACGGACAGCAGTAGAGCAGTTGATGTCATCTACCTGGACTTGTGTAAAGCGTTCGACACTGTCCCACACGACATCCTTGTCTCTAAATTGGAGAGACATCAATTTGATAGGTGGACCACTCGCTGGATAAAGAACTGGCTGGATGGCTGCATGCAAAGAGTTGTGGTCAATGGCTCAATGTCCAGCTGGAGACCAGTAACGAGTGGTGTCCCTCAGGGATCAGTGTTGGGACTGGTGTTGTTTAACATCTTCGTTGCTGACATGGACAGTGGGATTGAGTGCGCCCTCAGCAAGTTTGCTAATTGCACCAAGCTGTGTGGTTCAGTTGATACGCTGGAGGGAAGGAATGCCATCCAGAGGGACCTTGACATGCTTGTGAGGTGGGCTGATGCCAACCTCATGAAGTTTAACCATGCCAAGTGCAAGGTCCTACACCTGGGTTGGAGCAATCCCAGGCACAGCTACAGGCTGGGCAGAGAAGAGATTCAGAGCAGCCCTGCGGAGAAGGACTTGGGGAGGTTGGTTGATGAGAAAATGAACATGAGCCGGCTTCAGTGTGCGCTCGCAGCCCAGAAAGCCAACTGTATCCTGGGCTGCATCAAAAGGAGTGTGACCAGCAGGTCGAAGGAGGTGATCCTGCCCCTCTGCTCTGCTCTTGTGAGACCTCACTTGGAGTATTGTGTGCAGTTCTGGTGTCCTTAACATAAGAAGGACATGGATCTGTTGGAACAAGTCCAGAGGAGGGCCGCGAGGATGATCAGGGGACTGGAGCACCTCCTGTATGAAGATCATCTGAGAAAGTTGGGGCTGTTCAGCCTGGAGAAGAGAAGGCTGCGTGGGGACCTCATAGCAGCCTTCCAGTATCTGAAGGGGGCATACAGGGATGCTGGGGAGGGACTCTTCATTAGGGTCTGTAGTGATAGGACAAGGAGTAATGGGTTCAAACTTAAACAGGGGAAGTTTAGATTGGATACAAAGAAGAAGTTCTTTACTGTTAAGGGTGGTGAGGCACTGGAATAGGTTGCCCAAGGAGGTTGTGAATGCTCCATCCCTGGTGGTGTTCAAGGCCAGGTTGGACAGAGCCTTGGGTGGTATGGTTTAGTGGGAGGCAGGGGGTTTGGAAGTTGATGATCTTAAGGTCCTTTCCAACCCTAACTATTCCATGATTCTGTGGATCCCAAGGCATTGTAGTAAATGTTCACTGAAGTCAATAAAGCCATGGCAGCTCAGACCAGGTAGAGGTCTGCTCCCCAGGGTTTTCAGAAAGGGCTTTCACGAAAAGAGATGGGTGATTTGACACACTGCTCTAAAATAGAAATCCATGAGTAACAGGCAGAGTAAAACGAGCCTTGTCAGCAAAGGAATGGGACAAGGCTGGTGGTGTCTGCAGAGCATAGGACAATGTCTGCATGATAAGGCACAAGTGGAACCAAAGCTGTAAGGTCTGCGGAGAGGCACTGAGGAGGAGCAAATATGGAGCTTTAGGCAATGCAGGGGTGAGCTCCAAAGAGATGGGCAGTACCTCTGACTTCACCAGGTATTTTTGCCTGTGCTGGTTTATTTTCTTTAGTACCAGTGAGGGTTTTGTAGTCACATATAACCCAGCACACCAGGGACCTAAGAGATCCTGTGGCTCTGTTGTTTGCTGATCTGATTCAGCAGCATCCCTTCAAACAGCCCTGTGCAGAGAGGAGAGCTATCTCCCACTTGCTGTCCTCCCCTCCTTCCTCTGCACACCGGGATACTTTCCAGAGACCCTGCTCAGCAGAGCAGAGAGGTATATGACACAAGTCCTGAAAGCACTGACCACTCCAGCCACAGCACCACTGTATATTGATGTAGAGAAACACACAGGATCAAAAAGCTGTTTTTAGAGCTAAATGGAAACGAGTTTTTTCTGGAAACATGTTTATTAACACTTTTCAAGCTATTGCAATGTCTGTAACAAACAGCACTGATACACAGATAAGTTACGTGATTGAAGCCTGACTAATGACAACTGCCTGACTGACTTCACTACTCTGGTTACACAGGCAGAAATATATGTGTGTATATATATATATGCCATAGCCCACAGGTACTTGAAAAGGGTTCAATTTAAACCAATTAATAAAATAGCCTGTTTGGACAAAAAATAATTGTTCTCCGAGAATACGTGAATTCAACACTGCTAGAAAATCCCTGCCATCTGACGTAGAAGGATTTATAGGTTTAGTGGAAATTGCTTTCCCCACTGTCCAGATTAAATACTGCAGGATGATTTTTTGTATGAGTAAACATCCTTCCAAGAACGATCAGACCGATAATGTCTTAAAAAGAGGAACAGGATCTACATTTTTGTTTTCTTCTTTTTGTATGGACTATTTCTGGATACAGAACCTTCAGGTTACATGTTGACTGTCCATAAAATGCATTTTAGCATCTTCCTCCTGTTGTGGGGTTGGGTTTTATCCACTGAATGCAGAGCCCACAGACAAGGAAAGGAAATACATGAAGTATACAAAAAAGGCAGGTAAGTCTCATTTCTTTACATTCAAATAGTTACAGTATGGACAAATGTAAGATTTCAGGTGAAGATAAAATGGCTAAGAGATAATGAAAATTTGCATTTGCAGATTGTACTTTTTTGTTGCTGGTTTTGCCAATGAATGTTTCGAATGCATTTTCTACAGTGAAAATCTACATTGTTCTCCTCCCCCCAGAAAATGGGTTTCTGATATATCTGAAAGTTTGAAAGGGTGCAGAAAAAGAAGCATTTGCTTATATTTGTTGTGATTAAAATGTGGTAGAGTATTTGCGTGAAAGCGGAGAGGAAATTTAGGTCCATGAGGATTGTTGCATTCACTGAAGATTGGATTGACTGGAGATCTCAGAAGAAAACATTCAGAATTTCTTTTGTTATTCCCGTACCCTTTGTTTTATGGAGTTTTTGAGAGGAAAAAGTTAAAGCCTCTCTGTAAACTTCAAGGGTATGGACAGTTATCAGAGGAAACAGAGCTTTCAGCATTGAATGTACACATTAAAAATTGTTTAAAACATTGACTATTATCTCTCTTTCATGCAAGGACTGTGACATTTTGCTCTTGCTGTCTGTAGACAGACATTTTAGGAGGTTTTGAGTTGAGGAAGGTTTTTTGCTACAACTGATTTCTGATTACTTATATCTAATGTGGGGAATATTTGGAACTCTGCATGAGGATTTTTATACTCAGGCACATTACCAGGGGCATGTGGGGGAAAAATCCCTTGGATGTTTTATTGAGAACATAGCTGACACATTAGTTTTCTGTCCAAATGCTGTGTACTTCTGCCTGTGACAGACTGAACCTACGTTGTTTCTGCTTTGCTATAGTCACTGCTTGTGTTCTGTAATGACTCTGTATCATCATCAATACTGTAATGTGTATGGGGTTGGAAATGCAGGAATGTCACAGTCTTAAGGAATTCAAACCACTCCTGTTATCCTTCAGGACAAATGACTGAAAGGTAGAAGGGATGGCAAGCACAGTGCCTTTTTGTTTTCTTGTCGCCTCTTGCAGCAAGTCAGGGCTACAATACAGAGTGACTGGAGTGTCCCAGTTGGCACCTGGAGGTCCATGAGCCATTTAATACATAGGAAATGGTTTTAGCAGTGACACCTGTTTCGTTCAGGTATAACTGACAAGATGAATACAGTGTCTGTTCATGATCAGCCCGCAGAGCATGAATTATCAGAGACAGTGTTGGATGCAAGACAGACATGAAACCTCTATTTTCACTGAGGCTCCATGACAGTGGCAGAAGAGGTGATATGCTGGCTGTAGAAAAATAAAGGGGTAAGAAGCAAGGTACTGCCATTTGAGCTGAAAAGTGCCCACCAGAGGAATGCACAGGCAGCCATGTTCTTGTTTAGCATCTTTAACAGAAACTCCCATTGTACCAAACACTTAACAGTGCCAGTGCAATTAAGTCGACAATATAGCAAATCACAGAGTGTTAAAAATACATGACAACAGAAAATAAATACCTATTCAGTTCATGTAGGAAATGTCTCTTCACCCATGCTTTGTATATACAGTGTAATTGTCCATCAGAAAGCCTCGAGGTGTTGCGGCTCTGAAAAGCTGGGTCCACCTCCCTCTCAGTGTGCCCACACTGGGCTTGGAGGTAATCTGTGGCCTATTTCTGCCTCAGTAGAGCAGTACAGATGCTGAGGAGGGCTGATGAGAGAGGAGCAAAGCTGTCATGTGGGTACACGGCTGTCCATCAGCAGCGTGGTGCTCAGTACAGTGTTTACTTTCCCTTGTGATGGGCTAGGCTGTGAGAGACCAATGGTTTTAACAGCTTTATAATTTATAAGGGGAAAGAGGTCATCTGTCTGATTTGGTGATAAGCACAAGCAAAAAAGCCTTCTGCATGAATTGTACATTGACTCTAACTTATGATAATTACCTTCAGTGTCAAGTAAACTCAGAATAGGATCACAGATATTTTTTAACTTCAGCTTCCACTCATTTGTTCCTGTTCTATGCCAGCTTGTCTCTTCTTCATCCACATATTTACAGGTGGATCAAACCCTTTTTTCATCTCTGCTTAGATATATTCAGAAGGTTAAGCTTCTTATATTTGTCAGTGCAGGATGTTTCCCAAGCTTTGATTCAATCATTTTCTTGTTTTCTTCTCACCCTTCACCTCACACTAAACCATGCCACCCGAGGCTCTGTCCAGCCTGGCTTTGAACACTGCCAGGGATGGAGCATTCAGAACCCTCCCTGGGCAACCTATTCCAGTGCCTCACCACCCTTACAGTAAAGAACTTCTTCCTTATATCCAATCTAAACTTCCCCTGTTTAAGTTTTAACCCATTACCCTTTGTCCTGTCATTACAGTCCCTAATGAAGAGTCCCTCCCCAGCATCCCTATATGCCCCCCTTCAGATACTGGAAGGATGCTATGAGGTCTCCATGCAGCCTTCTCTTCTCCAGGCTGAACAGCCCCAACTTTCTCAGATGATCTTCATACAGGAGGTGCTCCAGTCCCCTGATCATTCTCGTGGCCCTCCTCTGGACTTGTTCCAACAGTTCCATGTCCTTTTTATGTTGAGGACACCAGAACTGCACACAGTACTCCAAGTGAGGTCTCATGAGAGCAGAGCAGAGGGGCAGGATCACCTCCTTCGCCCTGCTGGTCCTTTTGATGCAGCCCAGGATGCGGTTGGCTTTCTGAGCTGCAAGCGCACACTGCTGGCTCATGTTCATTTTCTCATCAACCAGCATCCCCAGAACAACCCCAAAGCATGGTTGCTTTGCACTTAAGTCAAAGTCAATACCTTTTCCCACCACAGAACTAGATCCTAAAGAAAACCAGAGAAAGAAGGGATGCTATATAGCATCAAAAAAAGCCTGCAGTGAAGATTGCTCCTGAACATTTTGATATTGACTCTGTTTCCCCTCCCTTCGACACTCAACCCTGAATATCCATTATGCAGGAGAAGAAGTCATAGCAATTGACTTCATTACTCCTCTCTAAACATCAGTATCTCTTGCTCCACAGGGCTTGGGGTAAGGACCAGGATGGAAAACCATCCCTTGACTGCAGCCTTTACTTTCTGAAGAGAGCCACAGGCCTCAGTGGAGATTGATGGGGGAAATCTCTTCAAAGTGGAAAAGGCTGTCTCCACACCACCATAGGATGCTCAGGGTGGCTTCATTTGCACACATGGCTTCCCTAGCCTCCCCAAGCTCTATAGGAGCGCAAAACCATCCGCTTGCCATACTGCCAGGGCTCACAGTAGCCACTGGTGCTGGCAGGCAGCACAGCACCTGCTATAGAGACCTGCCACCTTGGGTGTGCTGCCAGCCTCCCACTGTCCCTGACAGACGCGGTCAGCTTTGCTCCTGATCTTCATGGTGCAGCTGGCAGAGGAAGTACATAGGCTTTTACCTTGTTTCTTTGGATGGTGCTGTTCTGCAAGTGTTGCTCTCAAATTAAAACTCTCCACTTTTCAGCCCCAAGGCTTGTCCTTTGACCAGCTCAAATCCAGCAGAGCCCACAGCCTTTGCACGCCTTCTGATGTGGTGGATGGGATGAATGGGGGCCTGCAGGATCAGACACCATCTCTGTCACAATTTTTGGCACTGCCGGTACCCCAAGGCAGCCATTCTAGGATGCGACAATGCACACTGTAAACAGCAAAGTAGATAGCTTTATTGCATGGGACTTATTTCAGAGACCTCCAATATTGTAATTCACTGTAAAAATGTCTGTGTGCCAGTCAAAGACTCAGCTACTTATTTTTGCTAATCTCCAGGGCAAATCGCCTCAAAGGAATTTCACTTCAAAGAGCAGCAATATAAAAATAAAACCTTCCTCACCTTGCAGACCTGCTCACAGTTTGCAGTCAGCCATGTGCAAATCCTGCAGGGTTTGTAAAGCTTTTTACTCCTGTTACATCCACAGTGCCAAAACTCCTACAGGAAGCAGCTGAGATCCGGAGCACCAGTAAGAGGGCTTGGGCTCATGGAAAGCCATCAGGCTGCACAGAAGTCACTAGAAGGATACAAAGGGTCACTAAAGGTTACAACATCGTTATACCAAAGCCTGTGTTGCTAATTAGACTTGCAGAATCTGCTAGAGAGGATGAGCAATAGCGAAAGAACTGGCCTGGAGCTGAGCCCAGGTTGTTCTGCCAAAGCTAACTGCTGTGAAAAAAATCTCTTTTAACACTAAAATCTCCCTGGACAGCATTATAGCCACCTTTCAGACAAACAGCTCTCAGCAGAAGAGATGTCACTGTACAAGATCTACAGATCATGTTTGTTTAATCTTAGCTGAGGGACTCGCTTTATGTTTTTAGTCATGTCCCTACCATTCCCTGGACATTTTATAATCATTTTGCTTCACTCTGGTCTTCAAATAGTAACTCATTTTCTGCTCTGCTAGAGCTCCCTGTCCATGTTTGTATCAGTAAGAGCTATCTTTTACAGCAGCTGAATGACATCTTCTACAATAAACCATGGGCTTTTTATCACAGAATCTCTCTCATGGCCAAAGATCTTTATGGCATTTTCAGATGTGATTATAATTAGTGATGCACTTCATAAGTGATGGGAACCACCCTGCATCATTATAGCCATAGTTCCTTCCCAGTCCTTTCTCAAAGGCTTAGGATCATACTGAACATTCGCAATATTAGCTACCTTCCCTTGTTTTTATTGAATTTGGATAGTTCTGTGTTGTCAGCTCCTCCATACTCTGGCCACATTGTGTGTGAGATATCTGGCTCTGTAAATCACATGTGGCTATGCTGGTACCCTCACTGCGGCTGCCTCTTACAAGTAGGGCAGCTCCTATCTTCTTGCCCTCTTAATGCTCCCTCTGGCTTTATAAATTTATCCTTAACAGGATTTCTTCCTTTACCTCCCAGCAACCCTTAAGCCATTCTCTTGTCCTAGAGTTTTGGTGCCATATCTTATCTTCAGGATTGATCCTGAAAGCATTTGTTTGTATGAACAAAGCTTACTAACTCAAGCT